TCCCTGCTGTTTCAAAGATTCTCTTCAGAATAAAGGCCAAGGCTAAAAAAAAAACACTCAAAACTTGCAGATACAATGTTACAAGAAAACCCAGCTAGATCAGACACCTCACTGACACTGAGCAGAGTGGGTGAACTAAACTACAAATTAAGATGTTTGTGTAAATCACATCACTTACTTTCATACCTGGATGTGTGAGCAAGTAATAATATCTGCAGTAAGAGTTACAAATAAGTTCACAATTCTTTTTAGTTAGGAGAACAATTCATAAGATTTTTTTTTTCTGCAATCCAGCATTAGCTGCAATGGCAGAAGTTAAATTCTCTCCCGCTCCGTTTTTGGAAACTCTCAAAGATCTGTTCATTCGGTACCTCTTAAGACAAAGCATAAGAATTGATTTTCTAAAGCTTGTTTCTGGAAAAAAAAGTAAAGCCTAATTTGAGAGGAAGGAAGAAGCAAAGATTTTTCCATCCTCAAATACAGTAAGATGGACCTGAAAAAGCCCTGCAAAGCCTCTCCACCCAACCCGTAGGCTTTTACTTGAATTACATAGCTCCTGATTGTTACAGCACCAAGGTTAGGAGCAGATGCAGAAGATGGTCTATCCTGAGTCAGGCCACTCAGCACCACATATCGCAGAAATTTCTTCAGGAAGCCAGCAAGTTCAGTTTGTTTTACTTCCTTCCTGATGGAACTCCTATTTCTAAGCATACTGTCTTCCAAACCCATGAATACATATTAGTTTTCTGCAAAGTACTTGGAATAACAACACAATGAACCCTCTGTTCACCTCCTTTCACCTCATTCCAAAGCAACTCAGACTGGCCGGTACAATATTCCCTTGTAGCATAAAGAGATGAAATTACCTAGGGTTGCGGAAGATCTTCTTTGCAGCTCACCAGTTAGTTGTTTTTTGTACGTAACTGGTGACCTCAGAGACTGAGCCCTGGGGGGATGCTGAGGACTGGACCAGCTGCTGCTCAGTGCCTGTGAATCAGTCTGTGCTGCTTCTGCTCTCTCCGCTGGGGATGAAAGCCTGCCATCATCTGGAGTTGACAAAAAGCAAAAAAAAAACAACCATTCAGATACAACAGAGAAAAATCAGCAGTATATGCAAAACCCTCATTTGGATCATTATAATACATAACAAAACATGATTTTTTTAGTCTGAAAAGTGCCATAAAAACATCAGTTCAGAAACGCCCCTAATGTGAAAAGTGTTTTTAAAAAATAGCAAACAGGAACTATTTCTGACATGGAATAGCTACCCTTCATTATCAGCTTCTGCCCTCAGAGGAGATTTTCAGTTATGTTAGCAGCCAGTACTGTGGTCACTTTAAAGTTAGAACAGTCTTTAATAAACCACCTTTTACCGTCAGAGGATCAAGTATAGACAGGTTCTCAATGATTCCAGTAACAAGCCCATTTTGTGTGCTGTTTCACAGATGTTTTTTTCCACTGTTTCAAAACAGTACTTTGCTGACTCCAGCTACATTTGCCAGAGACAAACACACTAAACCAATATTGACCAAAATTATGTTCAATAAATTAATCAGGACAGGTGATATTCTACTGTACAAACTAACAGCAGTCATATCAAGCAATTATTTTTCATCCTGCCTAAGAAAAATCTGAACAAATCAGCTTGCTTATGCAAAAACGTATCTTGGCTCCCTTTCCTCAGAAAGTATGCTTCACAGAACTGGAAAATGAACAGATAAAACAAAAGCAGCTGACTGGGCTGCGATCTCCAGCAAAGACAAAGGTAGGTTTTGCAGGATGCACTCAGGTGCATTCTTTCACCATTCTATGAAAGATTCTTCAAGAAACCAAAACTAGGAACTCACAAAGTTCTATAAGAGCTTGCCTAACAATAATAGAAATGTTTGCTATAGACATAGTGCAAAGGCCAGCATCAACTACAACATTTTAATATACAAAACCTTCATAACACTTGATGAAGAATACCTAAGTAATACAAGTTAAGAATGGACTTCCTATAAATACACTGCTTTTTTGTAGTTCCACTGCCTGCCACCCAAACAAAGATATGGAGGTAGATGAGGAGTGGAAGAAGTCTGGAATAAGAACTTGCTGTGGAAAAGCAAGCAGATATTTCACTTACACAAGGTGGCAAAGGGTTACTGCTGTTTTTGGCCCTGAAAACTTAATACAGGCAAGGGACAGTCAGACAGCCAGATAAGAAGCTCTGTGCATTTTTGTCTGCTGACTGGCTTGTCTCTGACCTTCACAAGCAACCACAGAGCTCAGGTGCAAGATGCTGGCTATCTTCTCCCACGGCAAAGCTCTACAATGTCACCCAAGAGAAAGACGTAACATTCCGCACAAAAGACTGACTCACCATCAACTGGGCCAGTGATCTTACATTATACTCTTATGTTCAGAGGTGTTTCCACAGGTTTATGTGGCAGGAGAGGCTGTTAATAAAACAGACAGCACAAAACATGCTCTCCCAAGCACTTACCCTTGCTGAAACGGAAGAGATTTACAAAAGAGCTGTAGGCTGATTTAAAAGGAGGCTCATCCTGGTCAGGAGTCAGGGGTTTGAAGTGAGTGAGATGAGATGGACTGCTAGGAGAACGAGGTAGATCACTGGTAGAATCCAGTGTTGGAGACCGCTTGTCATCTGCTGCCATTTCACGTGCCCTGAAAAGAGTTCAGCAATACACATTATACGTAAGGTGATGAAGCAGATCACTTCAGTCAACCAAAAAAGAGGTGACGTAAATGCTGAGGGAATGTTCAACAACTCTACCACATACATCTGCTATTAGCACAGGTCAGAGGGCCAGGATTAGGGGTCCAAGTCCCCTCTCTGGTCAGTGACAAGACAGCAGCACCACAAGAGGTAGCAATTCAAAGCTGCTAGCTAAAGACACAGAGCAACCAAATTAAGAAAGCAAACATCCACAGAGCCTGACAACACATTCTGGTCATTGCTTTATGGGATTTGACTCATTTGAATTTTTCAAATGCAGTCTCCACATGCATACAGAGAAGTTTCAACTTCAGATAAAAAAAAAAAAAGGCATTAATGCTGTGACACCTGCAGCCCTCGTAACAATTAAACTGGTATACCTCAGCAAGCACAAGACACATTCATTTTTCTGGTCAGGTTAACTTCAGAATGGGAAATACAATGAAAAGTACATGAAAGCAGGACTGAAAGACTGTTTGCTTGGTGGCACGTGGCTTTCTTCCCTTTCTGGTACAATGCATAATCTCGTGCAAGTCACTTGCACAGAAACCCAAGCTGTGTTCTATTTGCTGCCATATCTAACACCTGCAAACTTCCTTGTTTTGAAGAGCAGATACGTTGAAAGAAGGAAAGGGGGGGGAGCTGTGTTAGGAAAGTCATACTTGTTGACCCCACTTGCTGCGTATCAAAGCCTTCATCCATATGGCGCAGAGTCATACCTCCCCACACGCTGTATTCTTAAGCCTCAACAGGCCCCTGAAATCTTCCACTCTGGTAACACTATTCGTACAAGCTAAGGTGCTTACTTCCTTCATCTTTGCTTAAGCAATACTGGGTGAAACAACTGACAGCCACAACACAGGGAGCTGATGCGAGCAGCTGACCCCCTTTATCTCTGCCCAGGATCAAAACCGTTTAACAGCTGATTTCCTGCTTGGCAGGCTCCTTCCAGAAGTCACAGTTCCCACAGCTGTTTCCTACAGCATATACCCATTTTGATGTCTGGAACACTTTCTTCTAAGTTTTCAGAACTCTCACCAACAACCCCCATGGTCTCTGCATGACACCGGGAGCGCAAACAGGCTGCGCTACCTGCATGACTGCTCCCACAACAAACACACCACAGAAAGTATCCCGAAGTTACTCATATGACTCCTAACGCTGATTTCCACTCTGAACAGCGCACGCAGGAGGTGCCTGCGCTCCTCCCCACAGCGCCAAATCAAAGCACCCTTACAGAGACCAGCAGCAGTCCCACAGCCGCCAAATTCACCTCACCGCAGCCGGCTGCGGCCTGGCAGGGCAAGAGAGCGAGCGAGTCCTGGTGCACGCGCACAACACATACGCGGCTCTGGAAAATAAACTTCACCTTCGAGAAAAAGAGAAACAAAACAACCTGCTTGCTTCTATGGCGGCAGTACCAGCCTCCTAAAGCCGGCGGGAGGAGCGCAACGCTCAGCGCTGACCCCGCAGGCACAGGGCTCCTAAAGCGCGGCGGGGGGCTCGGACGGGGCAGCGGCACAAAGCGGACGCGCCGAAGGCCATCGCAGCCGCGACGCCGCCATTGATCACGCGCTGCCCGCCGGCAGGGCGCCAGCAGGGGCGCGAGCGAGGGACAGAACCTGCGGGCGCTGCGGCCGGCAGGAGGCCGCGACACCCGCTGCCCGCAGCAGCCCCCGGGGCCACGCGCGGCTCGACACGGCCGGCCGCTCGGACACGGCGCTCGGGACCGAAGCGGGCGAGGCGGGGTCTCGCCGAGGGGCCGCGCGCGCCCACGGCGGCCCGGATCCCGCGCGGAACCGCGCAGCCCTCACCTGCCGCCCGCGGGTACCGGGCCGGGCGCAGGGCGCAGGCCGCAGGTGCGGACACCGCCTCTCCCCGCCCCGCCCGCAGCCACGCACAATCGCCCGCCGACCGGACCGAGGCGTCGCTAATCGAGGCCCCGCGCTCATCCACCCGCCGTCGGGCGGGGCGGCCTCGTAGCGGGACCCGCCCCGCGGGCGCACTAAGGACGGGCGCACTAAGGACCGCCGCCCGCGGCGCGTCCCCGCGGCGCTCCTCCCCGCTCCCGGCTGCGCCCGCCGCTCCCCTCGGCGCGGGGCGCCCCCCGGACCGAGCGACGCGCGTTTCCCGCCCCCGGAGCGCCCGGGGCCTCGCCTCACCCGCCTCCTCCGCCGAGGCGGCGCGGCGCGGCGCGGCGCCACTTACCGCGGGAGGGCGGGGAAGGCGCCGGGCGGCCCCCGCCGCACCTCGGCCCGCCCCCGGCGGCGAGGAGGAGGGCTCGGGGGGGGGCCGGCGGGGGGGCGGGGGCGCGGCCCCATAAAGGGCTCCGCGCCGGGCCCGGCCCTGCAGTGTCGTGAGCGGCGGAGCGCGGTGCCGGCAGGTAACGCTGCGCGGCCCGGCCTGCGGCGGGCGGGGCCGCGGCTGTGCCTTTGTCCTTCTCCTCTCTGGTGCGGCGTTCTGCGCGGGCTGGGGCTGATCTTTTGTTGTTGTTTTTTAACGTGTTATTGTTGTTGTTAGAAAGCTCCCTTTTTTATCGGGGCGCCTCTGAACGCTTCCAGCCGCCGCGGGCTGCCCGCACCTCGGCGCCGCTCTGTGGTGCGGGGCTCCTCCTCCCTTGAGCATCGCGCAGCGCTCCGTGCCGTGACGGCCGGACCGGGGCCCCGCAGCACTCGTCGCCGGGCTGGGGACGGCCCGCTCCGTGCCGCGGCCTGGGGCTGGGCTGGGCTCGGGCGCGGCTGCGGCAGGCTGTCAGGGCGGGGTGGGAGCGGGAGCAGGGGCGGTGGGCTGGAGGCGCTGCGGCGGCGGTGGGCAGGCCCGAGCCGGAGAGCTCCTGTACGGCCCTGCTGCGAGGTGTTGCAATAGCTAATTGGCGACTGCGAACCAAGGAGTGGTTAGGATTTGCCGAAGCTTTGAACTGCTTGGGTTAAGCGTAGAAGGAGGTTCTTGTAGGCCCTCTGCTGACCTTTGGCAGCTCTGTAGGGTGCAGAATCGAAGTGAAAAGGTGACAGAAGGAGAAAGTCCAAAGGAATTGTTCAGGGAAGTGCACCTGTTGGCGAGCTGGCCCTGCCACTGAGAGAAGAAGGTACTGAGGCTGTGACCGGGGAGACCTGCAGGGTGCTGTTGGCTCCCGAGGAAGCATCTGTTCCACCATTCCGGGAGATATATCTCAGTGGAGGCACATCTTTGTTTTCCCTCATGGCAACACTGCTGCAGAGTTCTTAAGCTAGTTTTGCAAAACCTGACAGGTTGCTGTCAGAAGACTGAGGTTGTTTGATCTTGATTAAATGAGGCTCAAACCACAAAACAAGTAACGGTGGGTGGGGCTGTGGCTTGAATGAATGACCAAAATTCCTCAGGCTGTGCAAGTACTAAAAGTCAATGAGAGTCTCCTGGCTAATGACCTGTGCCTGGGCTATGGGACTGTGAGACAGTCCTTATTTACACTGCTCTTCCTGGAAAGTGGGCCCAAAATACTTGTATAAATAAACTGAGCATGAACATCACAGTGTGATCAAATGATGTTAAACTTTCTCTTGAGAACTGGAAAGACCTCATATGAGACCAGACTTTATTTTTCTGTAGGATAGAAGTGCCTGACTGGTTCATTTTTCAATTTTATGTGCTCATGTTAAATTAGGTAAAACAAGGCTGTGAGTTATTGAACACTGAGCCTGTTCATCTGGGTAAAGCCATTCATGCTCCATATGGAGCTCAGTGTCTGTGAGACTGTAAGTTCAGGCACAAGGGCTTGGTGTCTCACTGTACTATCCCAGCAGTTACATACAGAACTGGACTGTCTTGGAGGGGAAGAAAATGCCAAGTCATAGCTCTTGCATAATTGGAGTTGAGAACCATGGAACTGGATAATAATAAAAAAAAAAAAAAAAAAAAAGCAGAGCACTCTGTTAGAGAAGATGAGTGGATTGTGGGGTAGTTGTGGTTTTTTTGTTGTTTTTTGTCAAGGAACAAAGTACAACTGGAGGGGTAGAGTTCATATTTTTTTTTTTTTTTTAAGGCTGAACAAATATCTTGGGAAACTTCTGTTGCATGTAGAAAACAAATGTGTCCAGTATTTATTTGACCAGCAGAAGTAAAGCTTGCCAGAAGAAAATACTGTCAGTGTGTCCCTGCTTCCTTCTTCCCTGGAGAAGGAAGCTATTAAAGAATCTGATGTGCTGATCTTAGTGCCAGCAGTCTGAGCTGTCATTAAAATAAATGTTGACCTGCATTATTATTATTTTTTTTTTAGAAGAAAAAAAATAGGAGATACAGGCAACTGGACTAGAGCTGATGAAGTCTCTAAAAGTGCCCATCTACTGGTGTGAAATTTGAGTGGAAAGAGTTTGACCATGCTTTCAAATTCCTTTGTGAAACCATAATTCAAGCTCTGAATTAAGCCCCTGCCCTTAAATCTCAATTGTTAACCTTTTACTTTATCCCCAGATCCCTCTGGGAGCTGGGATTCCAAGAACATTCCTATTTAGTTTTTTTTTTTAGGACTTCAGAAGTGGTTATGTATGCAATGTTAGTACTTCTAATTGTGTTGTAAAAATGCAGAATACATGTTTTGGAAGTTTGTAACTTAGGACTTTTTTTTTACTGCAGATCAAGATGTCTAAAAAAATCCATGGAGGGTCTGTTGTGGAGATGCAAGGAGATGAAATGACACGGGTCATCTGGGAATTAATTAAAGAAAAGCTGATTTTTCCTTATGTAGATCTGGATTTGCACAGGTAATTGCTCTTTATGACATCCAGCCAGTTGGTATTGCAATTTGCATGTGTCATTAAGCATTGCTCAAGTTTCACTTACTGTCTTATTGCTCCTCCAGCACTTACGTGGAGAGGCTAACTAGCCCTTTTTGTACCAGTAACATTCAAAGCTGACTCCTTGGCTGTTACCTCAAGGGCCAATCTCACTAAGTACTGTTAAAAATCTGGGCTCATGGTGAAGGAACTTTAGTTACCTGTCCCCTGGTAGTCCCTCTGGGGATTCTTCACAGCAATAAGCAGTGAATGCTTAACAAGAAGTTCCCTCACTGTCATGGTTTGCATTTTCTTCTTCCATCTTCATTTTCCAGTACCTGGGCAGTCTGCATGGCTTCCTGCAGCCTAAAGGAGCATGGGGTATTTCAGCCATTCCCTGGCTTGAAGCCTAGCACCTGTGAACTCTGAGCAGGTCTAGAGCTTCTTTCCATCTCTGAAGACCTGCCCAGAGGGTGAATGTGTAGTTGTAAACGTGTGGCTCAAAGCTTGAGGAAATGTGCTGCTGACAGTGTAAGCTAACTGTTCCAAGTGTTCCCTGAGTCTAGGCTGTGCTCTACACTCCCTTCTGGAAAAAACAAATACTAGTAGCTGGTATGGCAAAAGGGACGTCCTGTGTATAGCATCTGGTCAAGCAGAACAAATAGTTTCTTTCCTTTCTAGCCACTAAGCTTTAATTATTAGATAAATGTCCAGCTGTGTTGCTCTTTTCTGTGTGAAGACTTCAGTGGTAGCTGCCATTATTAAACCCACAAGTCTGACCTTGTACCCTGCTATTGAAGTTACTTGTATGCCACCTACATCATGCTTTCTCCTTGCTAGTGTTGAGACCCAGACAAACAGGAACTCAGCAGCACAATATATATATGCACAGTCTGGAGAACATCTATTTTCAAAGAAGGGTAGGAGGAGACAATGCAGACCCCTAGCTGAGCCAGCACAATGGCTAGATTCATGCAGAGCTGGCTGTGCTTCAGGGCTGTCCCACGCTGGGCAGTCTCAGAAAGCTGTTAAAACAGTGAGTGTAGGAAACGTGCTTCCTCTGAGTGCTTGAGGGAGACTATTGGCAGTTGTGCTGCCAGAGCAGGATTGTGGATTCATTGTCAAAGTAGTTTTCAATTTGAACCCTGGTGTTGCTTTGTGTGCTTCCTTAAATTAAGGAAGCAGAAACCCTCAGTACAAGAGACTTGAAATAAAGGCCCATATTCCCTTGGGGATTGTGCTGTTCCATACCATGAGAAAACCAGGCAGAAAGTTATGTTGCCAAGAAACTCAAAAGAGAAAGCAAAGATTAAGGTTGTGTCCTGTGCTGGAAGATAGGCTCAGCCATAAACTGAAGCTGTGTTTTGTATACCTTCCCACTGACTGTTGAAATATCAGTATATGAGCCTATGTGTTCTATTAGCGAGGATGCTGCTGGAGTAGGAGAGGAATAACTTCAGTTATGGCAGAGTGCTGGAATTACGGGGTCTGATTTCTTTCCTATTGGATGTGAACCAGTGCCCTGGGCAATTCTGACTGTTTGTGGGTTTGTTACAGCTATGACTTGGGCATTGAGCATCGTGATGCTACAAATGATAAAGTGACTGTGGAAGCTGCTGAAGCCATAAAGAAATATCATGTTGGCATCAAGTGTGCCACCATCACTCCTGATGAGAAAAGAGTAGAAGAGTTCAAGTTGAAGCAGATGTGGAAGTCTCCGAACGGGACCATTAGAAACATCCTAGGTGGAACAGTCTTCAGGGAGGCTATTATCTGCAAGAACATCCCCCGATTGGTGTCTGGATGGGTGAAACCCATTGTCATTGGCCGTCATGCTTACGGGGATCAAGTGAGTCACTTCAGTGCTTACCTCTCTTATCTATCTGAACAGTCTTTGTCCTGAACTAGGACTCCCACGTGGAAAGTAGGTACTCACTAATACTTTGTGCAGCACCTGGCAAGGAATGGGAGAGCCTGTTTTATGCCTTTGTTCCTTAAACACAATTGTATAAACAGTATTCATGAGCTGTGCTTAGATTAGATAGGGCTTTACATAAACATGGGGATGAACCTGTTCCTCTAAGTTGTTTTTCTCAATTCTACAGAATCCTCCTCAAGTGTTGTTCATAGCAAAAGCAGACAAGAGCGATTTCTAAAAGTGAGGAAAGTTGCTTTGGTGTGTGAGTGGTGTTTTTTCTTACTTTTTTGAACTTGGATCTGTCCTCTAAACTTGATATCAAAAGCTGAGGTTTAAACAGCACTTCTGCATGGTGTTCATAATGGACACATCAGGCAGTGGAATGAAGCAGGGAAACTGCCTGGTGGAGGTAGTACAGGGCCAAGGGAAATGATCATGTAGCACTCAGTGTAGTTGTATTTGGGCAGTCTAGAGAACAAATATCAGCTATACTGCTCCCTGGGTAATGATGCCCTGCAAAGCAACCAAGAGGGAGTCTTTCAAGAAGAGTGACTGCTTAAACAAATGAGTAAATCCATAACTGAGGAAGAGTTGTAAGATTAGCTGGGATGGGATGGTAAAATAATAAGGATCGACTCAGGGTGGGTGGGGAAGAATGTGGCCCAGCATCTTCAGTAGTATTTAATAACTGAGAAGGTCAAATATAATTAACAGTGGATTAAGGGGGGGGGATTAAAACCCTGCCAAAGTACAAGATTAAAACAAAAGGAATAAAGTACAGGACATATTAGCAAGACACTTCTGTAACTTCAGAACACCTTAAGGAACAGGTTCTCTCAGTAGGAAAGAAACTACTTGGAAAAAGGATGACAGACTTCAAGGAAATGTAACAGTAAATAGTACTGTTCAGGACAGCTCAGAAAATGTGTAACAACTTATAGAACACTAAATTCTTATGACTTCTGGAAGGCCAATCTGCACTACAATGGATAGAAGTAGTGGCTTTTGTTAAGATCCTCTAGAATTTAGCCTTATTCATGAGATTAGTGGTTGTGATATGAATGGGAGGGAGGGAAGGGGAAGCTTTCTACTCAGAAGCCACAAAGCACTCTGAATACTTGGCATTTTAAAACTTGTGCATCTGCAAAAATATATGCTCATTGAATTGATGGAACCCAAGAATCTGCAAGCATTTTCCCATGAAAGGGAATAATCATTTCTGACACAGGCAGACTCTTCAGTACTTAGCTCTTGCCTATTCAGTAAGATAATCCAGGGACCACGTGGCCAGTGTAAACAGAATGTATTCTACAGATCTATTTATTGTAAATGCATCTCTGCACTTTATCCTATCCTGGATTACCTTCTGTCCTCCTGATAAATAAAACTATCATAAAATTATCATGGCAATTTTTTTTAACAGTACAGAGCAACCGATTTTGTGGTACCTGGGCCTGGAAAAGTAGAGATGACATACACTCCAGGAGATGGAGGCAAACCAGTCACCTATCTGGTCCATAACTTTGAAAGTAGGTACTATTTCTAAGTTTTGCTTGGAACTGATATTTCTTAGTTTAATTCAACTTTGAATTATTAGTCAGATCTATCTGATGGTACAGTATCTCTTTGGGAGGTAAAGGATGGACAAGGCCTGGGTCTTTTTCATCTGTCTGGGAAGTACTTAAACTTACTTGAAACTTTCCTGGGATCAAAGCAGCACTTCAAATATGTAATCATACTAGGCTGGTCCTTGTTCCTCGTATAATGACTCTGGTAGTGACATGCATGCTCTTCCCTCTGTTCAGAGGGGAACTTGCATCTAAACAGTGCTTGACCTGAGGGGAACTATACTTAAGAGCAATCCAGATATGATTTTTTTCCTGGCTATAGCTCATCTTACTGTGCTCTATATAGCTTTCATACATTGTATCCTTATTAAGCAGTCTTTCTCAATAAAAATGAGAACTGATACTCATTTCCCAAGGTAGATAGGAAATTTGACAAGAGTACTCCTGTCTGTGTAGGCTATAACTGTTTCCATATATGCATTCAGAAAGGTATTTATGTCCTGGCAATACTACTTTCCTGATGCAGGATGCTAGGCTTGGAAAGAGGAGTTCTGACTGTGCTGGGCTGTGTTGCATAAAACAATTAGAATAATTACCCTTTTAGAAACCAGGATGTTTATGTAGGGGTAGGACCAAGGAAAACTTTACATTGGTTATCTGTTTTGTCTGTTAATGGTCAAAAGGTTCAGAATTTAAAGCCTGATGGCAACCTGTGTATGTGAGCAGGCAGTACTTTATTTCTAGCTATGGTGACCTAATACATCTATATAAACCACACAGATTAGCAGTTCATATGCATTTGGTTTGGGAACTGCTCTATTCTTAATGCAGTTGATTTCTCTGGCATTCTTGCTCACAGGAAATCAAATATCTAGCATTTCTTGCTGTACAGCCTTTTAAACAGAATTCACCTGCTTTGCTGCCAGTTCTAATATGTTTTCATTTGATAGGTGACTGGTGAGCTTGTGCTGAAGATACCTGGCAGTCCTAGCTGTCAGTCTGATTCATTGTCCTGATGCATAGCATCAGAAAGCGGAAAGCAAGGTAGTACCAGAGACAGCAGATTGCTGTGTGTCAGTGTGCCAGTAACATCTCGACAGTCCATAAGGAAAGCTTTTGCTGTTGCTGAAGATGCCTTAGCTTGACACTGATTCAAGAAATTTGAGTTCACAGTAGGATTGAAAGAAGCTTTTTCTTTACATGTAAATAAGTATTTGAATAAAACTTAACAGCTGTTGCTATAGCTATGTGTGAAACCATGTCTCCTGAGAACAGTCTTACTAGATGATCAGACCTTGTTCTGCCCTTGATTCACTAAGGAAAGCACGGGAACAACATGTATTTTCATTAGTAACAAGAGTTCCATTCCATGCCAATACCAACTTCAGTGACCTTGCTACTATTGCAAGCAGATAAATCTCTGGCTTTTCTCTCTCTTGCATATGGTAATTATCTAGAGATAAGGACAAATGGCTATTGGAAAGGTGGTTGTTTTTGTTGTTGTTTTCCCAAAATAAAACAAATGTGGAGTGTTTCCAGAGCAAAGATCACTGATGATTTTGCAACAAATTACAACAGTGTTGGTAGTGAGATGCTTGAAATGAAGAGTAGATCTACTTTTCACTACAAGCACAAATAGCTCTTCTCTGTCAATGACAAGGCTTTACTATGAAGTCCTACATCCTACTTCTATCCACCTGCAGCATTTCAAATGATCTGAATGTAAATTTTCCCCAAAATAAACTGGTCAGTAAGTTTATGCATGCTTCTTACACGTCTGCATAATATAACTTATGTGAATATTGATAGTTCTTCAGACTTCACCTTGCACTTAGATGAGTGTTGAGTTCTTCCCACAACTTGCTGGAAATGAGCCTGAGGAAGTGGAATCAAAACTGCAGGGTATGCCAGGCACATGCAATGGAGAGATATAGGAAAACTTAAACAAAGCAGGCTCTCATTGCTGGAGCTAGTTCTACAACATAATGGAACTCTGAAGGCACAAGGAGCATAACATGAACAAACCCATTTTTAGCTTTGGCTGAACCTCCTCTTCCAAGCTGCTGCCTGCTGCTTCAGTGAAGAATACTTGCTATTATTTATCCCATTAGTAGGAATTCAAACATGTTTACTCCTGTCAGTTTTGCTTCTTAAATGTGGATTAGGTAGAAAACTTCTTACGGGTATTAGGTGTGAAGATGTACTTAGCTGTAAAACAAAAACACCTTACATATCCATGTATTATAGGACTTTGAGCAGGTGGTGCAAAGTGAATCTTTCCCTGAAAGAATCAGTCTGAAAATGAAAAGTATATCAAGACACCTGGGAGTTATGCCAGCCTACCTGCCAGAGTATGCTATAAAGAGACTAGCAAGTCCTTAACCAAAACTAAACCTAGTCGAATTCTGTCTGTTCTTTTCCTAACAGGCTGTGGAGGTGTAGCCATGGGAATGTACAATCTTGACCAATCTATCAAGGATTTTGCCCATAGTTCCTTCCAAATGGCGCTGTCTAAAGGCTGGCCCCTGTACATGAGCACCAAAAATACCATCCTGAAGAGATATGATGGCCGCTTTAAAGACATCTTCCAAGAGATCTATGACAGGTAATTGTGGTGGTTGTGTACTTCCTATGACAGTGCATCAGTCTGCAGCAGAAACATGTCGAGTCTTGTGAACTTTTGCAGTTAATTCAGTATTTTCAGACACTTGGCAGTAATGGCAAACACCCTTCAGAAGGGCTGTACACCTTTTCTGTCATAATTTCCGTTGTCCACCAGGACACAGTACTTAAGGCTTTGCAACATCTGGCTATACTGTTCATCTCTGCTAACAGAGAGCCACAGATTCTCTATGGGTTCTCCCACAGTTCTGAACAGACTTGCATTGGCTGTAACAATTGAGGAGGAAGAAAAGAGCAAAGATGATGAAAATTCCTCTGGATCATGTGGTTTTTGTATTGTTTTTTTTTTAATCTCATCTCCATATACCTCACTATGCACACTTACTTGCACAAACTGTGCATCCTGTTTTAATCCATATATCAGAGTGTTCTGATTTTTGTTTTCCAGAGAATACAAGTCCCAGTTTGAAGCCAAGAAGATCTGGTATGAGCATAGGCTCATTGATGATATGGTTGCTCAGGCCCTGAAATCTGAAGGAGGCTTTGTCTGGGCCTGCAAGAACTACGATGGGGATGTGCAGTCTGACTCTGTTGCTCAAGGTATGAGAAGTTTCCTCTGCTATAATTAAGTAAACTCAATAGCAGTTTCTTATAGTGTTCTGTCATGTCTTATGTAATGGCCCAAGAGATAGAGGGTGATGGGTCGCAGAAATTATATTTCATACCTGTGGCCAGTCACAGAGCTATCAAGCAGGCACATAATTTGATTTCATTTTGATGAGAAGTTCCATTGAAGGTAGACCATATATTTAATTGTACTCCTTTACCAGATAGCAATGTAACCAACAGCTTTTCCGTTGTAATGGTTGACCAGTGGTGACAATACTGGTGCTATACAGATAAGCAAGAAAAATTTGAAGATCTAAAGCTAGCTGTCATGTGTTAAACTTTACAAATTTGTAGTGCTTGACCAAAACCCTGTGTAATCAAACTGCCTGATGCCAAAACAAATATGGATGAAGAAACCCACAGGGCAAGATGTGGCTTTATGTGAAATGTTCTTTCTTAAGCTAAGACCAGTAAATTGCCTCCCACAGAACAAAGATGCGTTGGATTGCTGCACCAAGAAGCTTCCAAACACACAGATCTTTGAAACCTGCAGGGTTAGAGGGGGCACAAACGTCCAATTCTGCCAGCTGACCATTCCTTTCACTGAAGCAGATGCTGACATGGACTCAGTCTGTTTCTTATCCCCTCTTGGTGAGGTAGCAACTGGCAGCCCAACTTGCTTAGGATTCTCTGTTCTCAAAAACAAAACAAACAGCAAGTTAGGTGCTGTTCTTGAAATGGGGCAGAATATCTACACATCTATACCTTGTGGTTCAGCAGCACTGCTCATGTGAGTTGTTATCTTGAAGTTTCAGAACTAGCCACTTAGTTGCAGCAGCTCTGGTGTTCAAGAATGGTTGTAGCAGTGTTCACAAAATTCTCTCATGATAGAAATAAGGGGAATTTAGATGAGTACTCTGTTCAGAAGACTGAACTATGTGTTCTGTAGGTTATGGCTCCCTGGGCATGATGACCAGCGTGCTGATCTGCCCCGATGGCAAGACTGTTGAAGCAGAAGCTGCACATGGCACAGTTACCCGTCACTACCGCATGCACCAGAAAGGCCAAGAAACCTCCACTAACCCCATCGGTGAGCTTCCTTTCACTGCCCTTCAATGATCTCTACACGTGAAAGTACAGGTTTGAAGTAAGAATTCACACTCTTTTTGGAGAACCTAGCACCACAGAGTAGTTCACACTGGTAGTTCATAATGTACTTGCCTTTGATGGAGACACTCAGAGCAAAATCAGGCTGGCATGGAATGCAAGCAATAATTTTCATACAATCTAGCCTGAGATCTGCTGTCATTCTTCTGCAAATGATGGATTTATAGCTATGCTGGCCTTACGGTTTGGATTGGTAGCTTTTTGTTTTAGTCCCTTCTCTGCTGGTCCAAAAAAACAGCCACCTATCAAACTATACTTTAAATATAAATTCACCTAGAATGGCATGTGAGAAAAAGATACAATGTAATGTATTACTAGAAACAAGAGGCACCCTTCTGTCATTAGGACAGCTTACTGTGTAATCAGAGTCGCACTGCAGGTCTTTCTGACTTGGGGAAGAACAAAATAAAGTGGCAGACATAAAGAGAAATTTTCAGAAGTCAAGGAGTAGTTTAAGTTTTGCTTTTCTTTAGAGCTGTACAAAATATCAAGTATGCCTACCTGAAGATAGGAAGTCTGCTGTGGGAAAGAAAACACCTAACTTTCTTCTGTTTTCAGCATTATCGATAAAATATATACTTACTGTACTACCTAAGTTTAGTACAACACAGGAGAATCCTAGAAGGAACAGAGTAATCTAGTGTTCTTTCTCAGCCTCCATCTTTGCGTGGACAAGAGGATTAGCTCACAGAGCTAAATTGGACAACAACACTAGCCTCAAGACCTTTGCAACTGCCCTGGAAGAAGTGTGCATTGAGACTATTGAATCGGGTTTCATGACAAAGGACCTTGCTGCTTGTATCAAAGGCCTACCTAAGTAAGTGCATGAAATGTAAATCAGTTATGCTTGGCAGGGAATTGCTTACTTGTTTTTCCTGGAAAAATGTTTGTTGGAAAGTTACTTCAGTGTATATGGTGCTGGATTTTGGTCATAGAACAGTGCTATTCTGTAGCCGGTGCTCTACAACAGGTTATGAAGTGTTATCTGCACCAAGTACCTTAGTTTATGCTCTTCTGTCCTTGCTACTGTGACAAATGCTTGGCAGAGGGGAAATAAAAGTACAAATAAGTTCTTTGCAGGCTGGGTACATTGGTCAGAACTTTTCCTGCCCATTCATTAGGATCGAGACCTACCTCACCTGGCTCCTTCTTTTCTGGGTCCTTTTCACAAAATGATAAATGGCTGACTGTGGTGGTTTCAGAGGCAGGGCTCAAACCACTTTGAGCAGTCTTCTCCCACTTTGAGAACTGAACAGCATGACAACTAATGTTTGTCTTGTTTTTTTCCTCCCTCAGTGTCACACGTTCTGACTACCTGAGCACCTTTGAATTCATGGACAAGCTTGCTGCAAACCTGAAGGGGAAGCTGGCCTCTCTGCCCAAACTTTAAGGCTTGGGTTCTACTTGAGATCTGCTAAGAAATTCCCACTTAAATTGCAGTCTGTGTGGCACTACATCACCATTGTGTAACATTTCAAATACTAGACAAAAATGAACATATAAACTTTTAAAATGTTTAAAATATACTTTTTTCTTAAACCTCTTGAGCTGCCAGGCTAGGTCTTACCTTGGTAGCAGCTGAATGTAATAGTATTCAAGCTCACTGTGGGCCCAGATTCCTTTTTGTCATTCTTAGCAAACTTAAGGTTCCTCTCTTATGACTTCATTACAGTTTCCTTCTTCTCAAACTGAAAGCCGGTCTATGTCACATCTCTGGTCAAACCAGCAGTGACTTACTGTCCAACAGACCTGAGAAATCAGAAACATCCTTATTGCTCCAGTACTGTCCACTGAGTATAAACGAGCTTGCAGGACTGTGACAGCTCTACTGCAGCCCCTTTCTGAATGTTCTTTTTAGTGCCAGCTACAGCACAGCATCCTGATAACAAGGAATTTGTTAAGTCAAAATTAGCATCTGAGAAGAAGCACTTAATAAATGCTGGAAACAAACCCTATAGGCTAAAAGCCTAATAAAACTGCTGCAGTATCCTAAATGCAAGCTGTGCATTTAGATATATTCCTCCTGACTGGATGTGAATCATAGGAACTGTTGTCCTCCCCCTCCCATGCAATTCATTAAGGTGCAGAATGTTTCTCCAGTTGTCTGGGGTATCACATACACTTACTGTGATACAGCAAGTCAGCTTATGACTGTGAAGAACTATTCCATCCTTTTTTTTTTTTAAATAGTTTAGTTCAGACTAAAATAAAAGCCAACTAACATTCTCTGTGTCTGTGTTTCCTCTATGTGATTAGGAGCGATGGTGAAATTCTGCCTCACAAACAGAACTAGATACCTTTCAGTGTAGTCCACTGCATACTGGGTCAGAGAGCAGGAACATGAAGTAAATGTGAAATAAATTCTCTCCTTTCTCAGAGCACAGTTTCAATGTGTTGTAGATTGTAATGTGTCAGCGGCCCTGTGATAGTAAGCATCAGGTAGAGCACAAGAATTTGAATCTATCACTTCCCTTGATACTTTTTGTGAATTATGGGAACACTTTAGCAAGTACAGGCTGGCAGCTCCATGCAGGTGTAGGTATAACATTGGGCTGGTTGCTCACCTCCTTGAAGGATCCCAGCTGGAAGGCAAGCCCTTGAAAAGAGGCCCCACAAAATCAGTAGGTAACCCTCTGACTGACTTGGGGGAGCCTTTTATAAAATGAAGCTTGTACATTAAATACTCTGCCCAAAGAGGTCAAGGGATAGATGTCACAAGGTTTTTTTTAATTATTATTATCTATATAGGAGACTTTATTTACACTTTTAAAAAAAAGCTATACAGAACATTAGAAACATCCTATTAAAGACACAGAAGCAGGAACTTACAGGCTGCGTGTTCAACTACTACATCACTTCTTGCTTCTTGTCTCCCATTGATGTTAGTTTGCTTGTGTTGGCACTGGGACATCCTACAGGAAGTTGTTCTTCTTTGATATTCTTGGTCAGTTCCTTGGTTTTGGGCCTTCTCTTCTTTTTGGTTTTGTAAACAGGGGAGTGGAGGAACTCTCTGTTTGTAAATGGGTCACCCCGCCTCAGTTTGCTGTGGAACCAGAAGCATTAGATTAAAGCACCAAGAGACTTCTTGTATATACATGATTTCAGTCTCTAAAGTTTATGGATTTACTGAAATGCTTCCACTATAAGATGACTCAGTAGTAAAAGTTAATTCCTTATACAGTACAGCAGCAGCTGTACAAAGAGCAGTACAAAGAGTACTTTCTGACTCATTATATAACCAATTTCTCATTAGTTCAAACAGTGATACTGAAAAACATAGTATCACCCCTAACCAGCACAGACATTATTTTAATAAAATCAATTTAACAGAAGACATCATTTAGCAACTAAATGTACAATACAGAGTTAACTGTAAAGTACGGTAGCCACTGTCTGTACTGATCCAGTAGTTGCTTTGTGAAAAAATGCAGCTGCTTGCTTTGCTATTCAAATCCACTAGAAAAAGCAGATACAGATCCAACCAGCTAATAGGGTTTGATGGTTTCACATCAGTGGCTAGCTAAGCTCCACCACACTGCCCTCTCACTGCCACCCCAATGGCACAGGGGGAGAAAACATGATGAGTAAAAGCTCATGAGTTAAGGACAGGGAGATTGTTCACCAATTACAGTCACGGGCAAAAACAGACTCAGCATAAAGGAGATTAAGGCAATTTAGTGCTACTAACAGATTAAAGCAGCAAGTAGTTATACAAAAAAGACATCTTTCCTGTCGCTCTACTCCCCCATATGTATTTCTTTACTCTGAGGAGCACAGGGGAATGGGGCTGTGGTTAGTCTAACACTTTGTCTCCACCTTCACAGTCACTCCTCCAACTCCAGCATGGAGTCTCTCCTATGGGATGCTGTCCTTCCCAAACCGATCCTATGTGCACTTCCCACAGGCTTCAGCTCTTCAAGAACTGCTCCAACCTACCACAGACATTTTTCAGGAACAAATTGCTCCAGCAGCTGCTCCTTTATAAACTCCTCACAAGCTGCAGTTCTAGCCAAGTGTTTGCTCCTGTGCAGGCTCCAACCTCCTTCAAGCCATGTCCACCCGCTCTGCCATGGGCTGCTGAATGGGTATCTGCTCCAGCACGGTACCCCATGGGCTGCAGGAAACTCTACCACTAGCTGCAGAGGAACTTTCTCCCCCTCCTTCTTCACTGACCTCAGTGCCTGCAAGGCCTCTACATTTTCTCACTCATTTCTCCCAGCTCCTGTGTCCTGCATTTTATCCTCATACTAATCCCTTATTAGCACAAGGATACCACATATGCAGACTTGCTAAGAGATGTATTTCTTCAGTGAAGGAAATAACATCTTTGACAGCTTGCTAACAGAAGCCTACACACATATGCTAATGCATAAGTTACGCTTAACTGCACTGTGGTAAAGAGGGACTCACAGAAACACCAAGGGTAGGAGGGACTGAAAGACCAGCAAAACATCAGAGGATTTAGCCCTAGACAGCAAGTGTGTGAGAGCAGAGCAGGAGTTCCAGCATAGGAAAAGTCATTGAATGAATAGTTTAAATCCCCACCACTTGAGACTTGGCTCTCTGTAGCAGGCTGGGTCCGGTCTCCGCCTGGATGCACGTTCTGGTACTTCTTCCAAGCTGGGGACAAGAGATGGAGTCCTGGCATTGGTCAAGTCCTGTAGCGGCCTGATCTCTAAAGAGACACATTCACAGATGAGCTGATCAAAATTTCCAAATATCCTTAGAAATACAGCTTCCAGATGTCTGCATCACCAGGTTTCTCTGAACGCTGCCTAAGCCCAAATCTAATCACTTCTAAACTCAGGAGACCATTTTTGTTCCAAAATCATATACTTGTTCCTCACAAGTGAGCTCATTAATCAAATTAGGCTTCTCTCTGAAAAAATACAGATCTTTAATATTACAAATATCACTGGGCTCAAATGCAGTAGCCTCTCTCTACAAAAACGGGAGTTGAAAGTTCTAGCATCCAGTTGACAGGCTGTAGAAAGCAAGATTAAGGCACCCAGACAACCTAGGAGACCCTGCCAGTGTTTACTGTGGCTTTGAAAGTGAGGTCAGCCAAGGCTGTACAAAGTACAGCTCACTTGTAGATAGAAAGGCCTGTCTGTGAACACCTACAGAAGAAAAAAAAAAGTCCCCACACAACTCCACCCCTAAAAAGTCAGCTTAACTACTGCTAGAGCCACAGAATACACCCTCCAAATCCCTTGAAAAACAAAACAGTGCCCCAGTAATGCTAACCACAGGCAGAGCTAGCATCAGGTTACACTTCTCAGCTGTTTGAGATAAGCTTTCTAAATAGACAAGAACCCTCCATGGACAACAAAGTGAGAAAAGAAGGGACTCACATGACATGCTTTCAGTGTTTTCCCAAAGTTCATGCATGTAAGAACAATCTGAAATTCTTAAAGGAATACTAGTATACTACATACAAACGCAGTCACAGGAATGACCGGTCAGTTTAAACGGAACAGTAAATGCACGCTGATCTTTCAAACACAGAAGAGGAACAGAAATACATGCATTTTCTGTACAGTCTTTAGCATTTACCCCCAAATACAGGTCCCCTCCGCATTCTGCCACCTACCAGGCTCCTGTGGAGGTGAACTCTGGGAACAACGTTTAAAACTTGACACAACCTTGTTTCCTTCCCCAGATGCTTCTTCTGCCCTCCCTTCTTTAAATAGCAAAGAGCTTTCTGGACAAAGAGATTTTTCTGGAGTTCCGTTGCCTTTGGTCTCTGAGTCGTTGGAAACTGGTAGATCTGTAAGCCCACAGCTGACAGGCAAGTCCGTAGAACAGATCACAGAGGAGGACTCAAGGCTCTGTGACAGGTCCATAAGTTTATTTGTAAGTGAAATGTCAGCTATCTGCTCTTCCTGGGAGGCACCCAGCTCAAACAGCAGATTGGTAGGGCAGGAATATTTCTCAATTAGTACAGTTTGCTCAGATACAAGTTCCGTAGAACTTTCATGGAGGACACTGGCACCATCACTCTGTTTATCTACAGAACTAGTCTTTGGAGGACTGGAGGTTTTCCTCTTCCTCCGAGACTTTGGTTTGCAATTGCTTTCTTTTTCCAAAGAACCAGTGTTGACAACTTTAGTTTGCTCCTTTTCTAGAGGATCCCCTGTTTGTTTTTTATTGTTCTGAGCAGCTTCCTTCCTCTGAACTCTGGGAATTTTGCTAGCTTTGCTCCCAGGAATACACCTGGATTGCACCATTTCATCCTTTTCAAAATCTGTCTGGACACAACCCAAGTTTCCTGTAAGATCCAAAGGACAGACAAAATAAGTCCTCTTTCTACACTTATCTAGTGAATCCCTTGTGCCGTCTTGAGCTATTCCTTGAACACCTACAAATGGGCCAAAATTGCCTTCATTTTTCTGACTACTGCAACTGCTTTTTGTGACCGTCTTTCTCCTCCTTATCTGGCTGCTTTTACATTGCTCTTCAGCTTTAGCCTCAGGTATTTTTTCCATGCTGCTCGGCAAATTCTCCTCAGAGTCATTTATTTGACTAATTACTCTAGTTTTTCTATTGGTTTTCTGTCTGATACTCTTTGTGGTCACATTGGATGAGTCTTCCTCTAAAGCACATGCACTTGAAGTCCCACCCCTCAACAAAAATAAATTTTGCAGACTGCAATCATCTGAGGGAACTTCATGACTTGAGACAGTATGAACTGGGATTTTTAACAAGCTGCTCTCCATGCTTTGGATCTCAACAATTCCATCTTTCTTAGCTTGCGCTAAGTCACCACTTCCAAGACTATTCAGCCGTGGTGGGTTCACCATGTACGTTCTTCTGATTCTGACATTATTAGAAGAATGCGAACTTTGCACTGCACCAGAGACTCCGTTCTTCAATTCCAAAGCTCCAACACAAGCCTTCTGTTCCATATCAGAAGCCTCTGACCCACTAGGCCATGCTGCAACTTCTGACAAAATAGGCTTCTTTGCATTTCGGGTATTCTCTTCGGGTATATCAGGACCATTTTTTGCACTGGTTTTAATCATATTTGTTTTCTTTCTTCCTGCACTTGCTTTTTTAGCAGCCTTTTTCCCATCAGTTTTACAGTTAACTTTACTTTTAATCTTTACAGGAACAAACTCCATGACCTCACTGGAGCTGGAATCTACTTCAACGCTACACCCAGTTTCTTCAGCCTGCGGCTGATCACAAAAAGCTTCTTTAACTGGAAATCTTCCATTGGGACTAACAGTTGCTTCAGTGGGTGAAGCCAGTGAGCTGGGAGATTTTAGCTGTGGCTGTGTGTTGCTTTCACTGAAACTGCTGCTATCCTTCACAATACCACACCAGGTTGCCCGAGTTGAACTGACATGTGGGATGGTATCCACACTTGAAGACTGAGTGCTTGTTGCAAACCAAGTGGAACGTTTTCTCCTCTGTGTAACGTGCCCTTGTGAGAGACGATCATAGAAGCGCTTCACCATATCATCTTCATATGGAAGTGAACAACTTTCCCAGGCAAGTGCTGACAAATTGTTGAGATTTTCTTGGGTGGCACACAAGGACTCTGTTAGAAAGACAAAATTCATTCTTAAGACTCAGAAATGTAGCAGGCAAAAGTCAGTTTTCTCAGTACCACTACGAAATATGCACTGCAATCCTACCACAAAACCAGAAGATAGAAAAGGCATGATTTTTGTTCCACAGACTCCACAAACTCATCATCGTCAGAACTGGTCAGAACAAAGGCAGCCCAAAGCAAGATCCCTTAATCAGCCCTAATATAATGGTAACTTTAGAACCATGGGAGCTAATAGCTACAAGCTAAGGGGAGCTATGGTACTACATACATACCAAATCATACCAACAACTAGTAGAGATGCACTTACCTCTGAAGAGGCATGAGTCAAGAAAAGCCTCTTTCACTTCCATTCTTTCACTCTGGTTCTTTCCATTTTCTTTCTGAGGGGACTGAGGCTTCCCAGCCAACTGTGATGGCAAAGCATCATCAGAAACAACAGACAAAGTTTCCAGGGACTTATCAGGAGCACATCTCTGAAGATCTAAAGAGGACTTCTGTACTGCTGTGGAGCTGCCACTTCGCTGTCTCAAATCTGTTGGCTTCGAAATGGGCACCCTCAGTGGCATTGCCGCAGTGCTAGTGAGAAAGAATAACAGCAATGGAGCACATTCCACACCTGCAACACGCTAAGGAATCCAACAGAACACAGCTTTCACCTCTCAAAAGCCACTGTGCTGCAATACATTTCAAAAGCCTTCAGATGCTGAAGAACACACACCACCTGCCCAGGATAGCTTTTTTACTTTGTGTGCAAGTACAAATCATAAGGAAAGTGTACCTCTACATATGCAGAAGCAGGAAAAAAAAATACAGAGGCAACAAGGAAGTACAGCCTTCTTCCATGTAGCTATATGCATGCTTAAGTATTCTTATAGAAGAGGATCATAGGAGTATATCATTAGCAGAAATAGGATTTAACTGTTTACAATAGCTACAATTAAACCATCACAGCAGTAAATTCGAAGGACAGGGCCTTTCCTCCAAAGGATCTACCGTCTGTGTGAGACAACATGGGCTGGGAAGGAAATCTCTTAGAGTACTCTCCAGACAAAAAGAAAAAAACTTATCTGAAAATGATGTGTTTTCAAAGAAGAGAAAAAGGCAAGCTCGTGTAAAAAAAACTTGGCACTAGGACAAATTAGATGAGAAATGGCAGCAGAAAGACAGGTTAAAGGAAAATCGTGAGCAGGAATGTTTTAGAGAAGACAAGTCACAAGAAACAAACAACTGGACACACACACACAAAACACATAAAAGTCATTTCAGCATCTGACTTTAAGGCCAACCTCAGAAGATGACCATCTGAAATATCATCAGCCCAGCTATCTTCAGTCATGCTGTTCTTCCGGCCATTAGACAGGGACAGATGACTTGTATGATACTGAAAATAAACAAAAAGGGAGTTTAAATTTCTTGCAGTCACTTCTGCAAATGCCTGCACACAGACAGTGGCAGCTCAGATCCACCCAGGATAGTTTCAAATACTGCCAGTGATCCTCCTCCATTTAAAACTGCACAACCAGAGGTCCTGTTCTCCCATTCCATCTTCTGGAGAAGGCGGTTTATGCATCTCTTAAGAGAACATTAGCTATATTGGCCAAGGCCTATGCCTGTAACTTCCTGGTTTATGAGAAGTCATTTACCGTGCAATCTATACACAATGAGTCGCAGTAGAATCACATTCTGCCTCCACAGGCAGAAGGATGAACTTAAACTAGTTTAGATAATCTGCGACTAGGAAGCGGGAAGATTCCATATGCACTTCAAGTGACATTAGCACCAGGTTAAAAACAAGGATGCAGTCATAACATTTCAAGCAAGCTAAACGGCAAATGTGTTCAACACTGAATTTAGCAGGAGACAAACACAGTCTCCTTTCCAGTACAACTAGCAGCATGCTCACAGTTCCCACTGCTTACCTCAGAAAGCCGAGCCATCTTAACTGACTCCACAAGATTTTCAAGTTCCTTCAAGATGTTATTCTATGTTGAGAAAACACAGAGAAACAATAAGGATATTAAATCAAAACAACTGTTCCAACAAGGATACTGGCAACCATAAGAAAGCATAGCTCCTCTGGGGAAAACATAGCTGAAAACAAAGAATATACATGTATTGATGTATGAGGGAGACTCATTTCAGATGCAGAAGATATGGACAATCAGTGACAGCTCATGCACCCCTCCCACAGCAGAGGTGCTAGTGCTGCCCACCCTCTGACAACTAACTCCATTAGTTCCATACCAGAAAGCAGAGCTTGTTTCGCAGAAAAGCATTCTGGAAGTGACACTGCTCCAACTCCATCTGCAAGATGACCTTCTCCTTGGCAAGCCGCTGTGCATTAGCTTTCTCTGCATTGAGGGCCAGTGCCAGTGCTTTATTGTTGTGCTTTAGGGAAACTTTAATAATGGAGGAGTTGTCTGTAAGCAAGAGAAGCACAACACTGAATCAGCAATCAAGGTTTCATCCATGCCTTTCTCCTCCCTTGTCATATTTCCTTGTCTTCCCAGATTAGCTTTCCCTCAGGCTCAGATACCTACAACTCAACAGTCCTTCTCTATGCAAAGACAGCAGTATAATTCATTCCCATACAGTGGCAGGTATGGAATTCTCCAGAAAGCAGCAAGGAAGATTTTTCATAATAACCTGAAACACTTTAGATGTAGACATCTCCATTCTGAGAGGGTCGTGCTCAGCCAGTAACCTATCTTTCAATTCATAATAATGACAGAACGGCTTAGGAGCTGACTACAGGCAGGCGTGCTTCTGATCAAGAAAGTCAACTATGGCTCTCAGTCCTCACTTCCATCCTACACCTACACTCCCTTCTACACCTTGAGAAGATTTCAAACCATCTTTCCCAATTTTATGACAAATAAATGGGAGTAACAGTAATATTTAATTTTATGCACCGTTTCTCCAATACATCCCCTATAAATCCAGCTGGACTAGCTTCTACAATGGCAAGTATAAACATTACAACAGCTCCTCCATTTACTGCTGTTGACACTAACACAGACCCTGAGGACTCATCTGCCCAGAGAGACTTGTCCAGTGCCACCACAGACACTGTCCAGCAGCCTGCAACTGCCCCAGCTGCTCCTCCACGGGCTCTGCGTTCCACTTGCCAGCCACACATCCCTCAGACATCTTCGGACACCTGACCCTCATTTGCAGGGATACCAAATTCTCTGGAAGCCCAAAGGCTGGTAAGGAGTTATAAACTATAGAAGCTCTCACTAAGAGACTACCCCCCCGCCCCTACAAACACACTGCAGGACAAAACACTCACTGATGATCTTCGTTTTGATTTTTGACGCAAGCGAGGCGTTCAACCTGGCGGTCCTCAGGACACCGTTTTTCTTCTCCCGCATCCGCTCTCGTACGTCGCTGAGGCCGAAGGAAGCTTCGGAGGCCATCCGGCATGCCATCGCTGGAGGGAAGGAGGGAGGGACGGCAGGCAGGGTTAGCGCGGCGCCCGCCGAAGCTTTACTTTCCCCGAGCCGAGCTGCCGCCCCGCTCCGGGCCCCCGCCGGCAGGGCGAGACCGCGGCGCACCGCGCTGCGCCTCCGCGGGCCTTTACGGCCCCTCGGCCCTCCGCCGAACCCCCCAGGCCGGCGGCCTCCAGCGCCCGAGGAAGGAAGGAGGCAAGAACGGCAGCACTACCCGCCGTAGACGTTTGAATTCAAACAGGGCTGCACGCCGCCCGCCTCTCTCCTCGCTCCGCCCCGGCGGCGCGGCTGCGCAGAGCCAAGGGCGGAGATCCCGAAGAGCTGGAATGAGGGTCTGCTGCTCGCCTCTAGCTTAGCTCTTTCGAAAGGAGTTTTTTTCCCCTCTCAGTAGTTTACATTTCAGTCCATATTAATGCATTTCTATCCAAACACCTTTATCTTTAAGAAGCTGACAGCGCACGTGCAGATACTAAATGTCGTAAGAAAGCAGCGTAAAGGAAGAAAATAAAGCAAACTGCACAGAACAGCTTGCAGTGGAAATGCGGGGCCAACGTGCAGTACAAACGAGACTGGTAAAAACGTGCCTCCGTGCTGCCGCGTCTGGCTGGGAAGGCACATGCGAGCAGTTCTGAGATCCTACTCCTATCGCTACTTCAGGTTGTAGGAAATATCCAAATAATTTTCTAGGACGGTACCTCTGATAAAGCAGATTTTGTTCGCAATTGCAATAGCGGGCCTCCTGCAAGCAGGAGAGCACCCAGAAAACAGAAGTACATCTTTTATTCCCTATTCCCCAACACTTCACTCTCACTCCCTTAGTTCCTCATCAGCTGAGTACTTGAGGTTCACAATCTTCTCCACACTTCACTAAACGTGGAAACACTGGACAAACAAATTTTTGCTGTGGTTAATTAATTTATTCCACACCTGATCATTATTTTTGCAGATATCTGCTTGTCCTTCTTTCTACAAAGATAAGCTTGGGAGAGAGGCAGGGGAGTATCCTGGTGCCTGCCTTCACACCCCAACCTTCTCACGGAGGGAGACAGTCCAGCCTTGTGTAGAGGCCCTAGCTTCTTTCATGTTTGCTAAATCTGTCTTTCTTTTGCTGAGAGTTTCTTATCCTAACAGAACAGCTCTACAATATGTTTTCTAATCCCTAGCACACTATACTCGCATTGTTTGGAACATTTAACAACTATTACAGTTTTGCAAGAAAGAATTAATCACATAATTCAGTAATAATGTTTCTAAAACATGCCGCTAACATATACTGTATTTTAATTCTTAGATCAACTATTTCTAAGGGTAAGTTACAGAATACAAATGCATTATGTTCTACTTCTTCAAACCAATTGCTACTTTTTAATAACAAATGCAGAAACAACATTCCATTCCCACAATTCCCCCCTCTTTTTCTTTCAAAGTGTTGATTTCTGCAAATCCCCCTTTTTAAGGTACGATTCTAAAGACCTCTTGACTTTCTTCATTCTCCATTTCGTCTAATATCATCATTTTATCCGAGTACAGAGGTGGTTCCACTACTGTTTGCTTCAGCAGTGCAGTTTCTATTAATTGCTGCACCAATCCCCTCACGCAGGGGATAATACAGCAACTGATGGCCATCAGGACTCCTGCTACCACAGTCAAAGAAGGAAATATGGACACAATCACCCCTTTCACTTTGCCAAACCAGAATTCCAAACACCCAGTGAGAGAGCTATCTATTCCAGAGTTTTCAGCTAATTCACTAGCAAGAGTAGTAAGCCCCGTAATGCTCTAGTTATCGTGCTATCTGGGGCTGTGTTATTTGCGATGAAAGTACAGCAATGAGTGCCCAGCATTACACACACACACCCTTTTTCAGCTAGTATCATGTCTAGGGCAACCCTATTCTATATGGCTACAGGCCACCCTGCTTGTAGCATCCAATTGTTCTGCAATTCCCTTTACTGCCTCCTTTGTATAGTTTATAAATCTCTGCTGATTGTAATAGATGTAGTTTATGTTGTTAATTGTCACCCACCAGAATAGAGATTCAAAAACCTACTATGCCCAGAAATGACTGTGTCTCTTTCTTATTAGTGGGTAGAGACATGGCAGTGATTTTGTCGATCACATCTGGCAGGATATGACGACGTCCATCTTTCCACTTTATACCTAGAAACTGAATTTCTGGGGCAGGTCCTTTCACTTTGCTTCGCTTAATAGCGAAACCAGCACGCAGAAGGATTGACACGACACGGACTCTTACCGACATCACTTTTTTTATCCTTCCATGTCAGCTCTTCCTTTCATTTTGAAGCAGAATTCACCAAGCGTTGGATTATTCACGCACTAATAGGGAACATGAGCTGGGATTGGACCGTCGTCACACAGGTTAGTTTTACTCCACTGATGATGTGTTGTTGCACTAGTATTCCTGCTCGACCTGACATGACCTGCATCCATTGGAAAGACAACGGTGAAAAATCAGCAGGTTTTATTGGGATTTCCCAGCTGTTAGACTTCTTCCTAGTCCTGCATGTGGAAATGCAACATTCCTGCATGTGGTAATGCATATTGATGAAACAGCAAGTGATAGGATCCTTGTTTGCTATAAAGCTTCATGCCATACATACCGCAGATACAACTCCAGACAGGCTCTAGGGAGTTAACAGGTCTAGTTTTTCTCTGCTCTATTATCCTACATCTACTGAATACTGATCACACCTTTTAGAAGCAATTGGATCTACCAGAATAATAACAACAGTCCCAGCCTCCCTTATCAACAAGTCATCTACGTTTACAACTAGCCACTCTAAAGTGAAGCTTAATGCCTTAAGGAATAAAAGGATAATTTAGCTTGAAGCTGATAGCTCAACCTTAAGGTGCAGTATTAACCTTTTCTCTGTGGCACTTATTTTCCCTTTAATTTCTCTCAGCTCAGTAGCACTGTTTCTAAGCAACAAGTTAAAGCTACAGCCCTGCACTCATGAAGCCACAGCCAAATCTCCTATTCACTGGCAGAGGCAAGAGAAGAACAGCCGCATCAAGAGAAAAGCTTCTCATAGGTAAGCAAAGTCAGAGAAGCTCTAAGCCTAGATCTTGACAGCTACTATATGAGTTGATGCAGGTAGTGCATAATTTCTTGAGTGCATGTATGAAAGAGATAATATGGGAACAATACTCACAACACAGCTTACTAGTAAAGTCATTAGTCTGTATATTTTGGAGCAGGGAAGTGAAGCATGTACTTTGATCTTACAGTCAATCTGTTGGCCTAGCACCAGCTGCTCTCTTACTATGTCCTGTCAGGCCAGCCCTTATCTCAGCTCTTCCAGCATGGCCTCTTTTCAGTCTGTTCAGTGATTTACAGCTAACTGCATTCACATCCCATAGATTAAATTAATACCCACACAGTGGGCAGGGCAAGCTGTGTGCCAGGGAACTCAGAACCAGCAGCAGATTAACAGATCACATTACATGAAAAAATATACATCATGATGGGAATGCCGGCCACCTGCTAGCTGACATTCTGGACTGATGCATCACCAAACTCCTTACCACCACCTTCTGAACTGTGTGCACTTTGTCTTCTCTTTCTTAACTAGGTTATCTCACAGTTTCCACTGCAATACTTACTGGAAATTGTTTTTGACCAGATTTTTGTGGTGAGTCTAAGTGTGCAATACTCTTTATTCCTGATTCAAGTTTGACTGTTGATAGAGATACTTCATAGGATGCAATTGGATTCTAGATATCATTGAGACAGTACAGTGACAGCTAGAATATCTCCAGGCATGGAAAGAAATCACCTAAATAAAGGGATTGAAACACTCTATGATGTTACTACCCACAACTTCATTCTCTGCATTTGAGTTTGACTTATTTTCATTGCAAGGGACTGTAATACTTAATATTAGCTGGAAGTCCTTCCTCATCTTTTGAGGAAAAGCACAAAGACTTCCTTTTGTGACGCCCCTCATTTTCTTGTATAGCTTACATGCAGTCTACAGTGTGAAATGTCCTGAGTGCATATGTGACAGTAGAGTCATTCCAGCCTAGAACTTGTTCTACATCAGGAGGAGTGAGCAGGGAGGTAGAGTCCCTCCCTTGTTTTGCAGCTTCCATTAGGGTCTCCTAGTTCATACAGCTGCATCTCACTCTTTAATGAGTGTCAAGCAGATAGCTCCTAGGGAATCTATCACAGAATCATAAGTGTTGGAAGAGGCCTCCAGAGATCAAGCCCAACCACTGCCAGGATGTTTGTAGTACCAACATGCAGCCATTCTGCAAGGGAGTTGTGTGTGGAGCTCTCTGCTGGGCATCTATACACTGTCAAACATTAGCTGAATGATGATATTTGTAAAGAACCTTTCTTAAAGACCTAAGAACTACCACCCATTTCTCTGGAATTTTAGCATGTGCATTTTTCCCTGCCAGAACATGTAGCCTTTCTGGTATTCACCATTCCCTCTATTTCATAGAAGTCCAACACCCATCAATTCCTAGGACTCCCGGCATGGATAGCAGCACTCAGTCTGAGTTTAGGTTGCTGAATTAGACCCCAAGTGAGAAAACAGCCACACTTTGTTGTGGCTAAGGGAATTTCTCACAAGTTTGTCTGTGCATAACATTCTCCAGATAAGCCAAGAAAGTCTTCCTGTTTGATGTTTTTATTTTCCTGCAGAAGTCTGTTAAATACAGCACAAAGCACATGAGGTACTTCTGTCTTTCCAGACACACTACAACTTAGCCTTCAACATTGCTTTGCTGTCAGTAAGCTACTCGGATGCGCAGACTGTGCTGACAAGAGATAATGCAAGTCTTGCAAAGCAAAGATCCTGGTGTTGCAGTGGCTTACACCAGTGAGAAAATAAGAGTATAAGCAGCAGTAAGTCAGACCCAGGAATTTTTTGCTTTTGTAATACTAACCTAATAATCTTGTTTAAAACACCATGTAGAAACTTGGTAGTTCACAGGCAATACATCCCAATACAATTGACGGAGAAGCTGCAATGCTAATGGTAAGAAAACAAGAAAAAAGATTTCGCTAAGCACGACACTTGTATAGAAGCACTTTGTCTCCTGAATGTCTTTATTCATAAACAGCACAGTATACAGACAGTGAAGATGTTACAAATCTGACTTAGAATAAGTAGCTATTGAGACTCACCTAGAATAATAGACAATTTTAGTAGGTTTAAGTTTAGTATGCCTTTGTGTAGGTTATGTATCCTGTTTCAC